ACTCCATTTCATTTCAAGTACCGGACCTACGTTGAACCTGCTAGAGCAAACTGTACAGTACATATACAGATAATATAAGTACCGGACCTACTTTAAACCTGGTAGAGCAAACTGTACAGTACATATATACAGACAATATAAATACCGGACCTACTTTGAACCTGGTAGAGTAAACTGTACAGTACATATACAGACAATATAAGTACCGGACCTACTTTGAACCTGGTAGAGCAAACTGTACAGTACATATATACAGACAATATAAGTACCGGACCTACTTTGAACCTGGTAGAGCAAACTGTACAGTACATACACAGACAAAATAAGTACCGGACCTACTTTAAACCTGCTAGAGCAAACTGTACAGTACATAAACAGACAATATAAGTACCGGACCTACTTTGAAGTTTCAGTTTTTTTAGAAGTTTCAGGTTTTTTATCTTCCGTACACCTAGCCATTGTTTTGAGTGTAAGTCAGAGTTACAAAATTTCGAAAATGAATTTAAAAAATGTTATGCATGTGAACATGCATTTCCCCTGTAAACTTTTTCAAAGGGCCTGAGTCTGGGGGGAGTAACCGACCCCCCCGCCATCTTTCAAACAAATGGATTATTTTATATTATTTTTGAAAAATTCACAATGAACGAAGCAAATATATTATATACTATATAGGAGATTTTAATGACTCTAAAAACTGTTTAACATTTTAATTTGAAATATAAAGATATATATATGAGACTTGAGAGTCGGTTGAATTTATACTCTCTGTTTCCTTATATTCAAGATTCCCTTCAACTGTAAACTTGTTTGTTTGTTTGCGAAATAATTAAAATATATAGATTCAGTAGAAGTAAATATTTCCATTTATAAGGTTTTATCTCTAATTGGATAATGAGATAGATAGAAAGATAGACGTTACCGCTATGCAATTTCTATTGGTTCAGAATAGACACCAAACACATGACTGAAACCTGATTGGATCAGGTACTTATGGACCGGCATACAGGAGTGATCCTTTATATTTTTATTTATCCTGTATTTATCAATATTTGAAAAGTACACAATGCTGAAATGTTTGCCAAATCATTAAATAGCCTTTGCATTACTACATCTAAGACAGAATCCATAATTTAATCTTGGGATCGTCACATTTTAAGAGTTTCCTGTCGTCTTTACAGTCTTATCCTTTGTGGGTAACCCTGTATTTTAACATGCCAGATATACATTTAATCTTTAAACACTTTAAATTTGAGTTTTTAGATAAGAATTTATCTTTCAGACCTGGCTTTTAGTCGGGGAATATTTAGCGGTCTTTTAATTTGTTTTGGTATGTAACACAGCCATGTTTGTAAATAGAGTTTAGGAGTTTAGGGGGGGGGGGCAGTCTAAGGTTAAGTTGGAAATATAAAAATTAAAAAACTATTCTCATAAAACATGTAACTCCAATTTGTCGGAATCAAATCGCTTTGATGAATGCAAAAATTTGAGTATATACAACAATCTCAGGTTTTTGAGTCCCTAGATCTTTCCAACCCGATGTCGTAGACCTTTAATATTTCTAACTATGAATTCTGTAAGATCGAAAAGTCTAAATTTGAAATAAAAAAGTCCGATTGCAAAGATATTGTGATTAGAGAATTTGAGTTTGAGACAAGAACTCGGTTCAATAAAATCACTCAATAAATACACTCTCTGTTTGATATTTATGTACTCATCATATTTGTTTTTTATTTCTTATTTTAAAATATCGTCAAAGATTTTCTTTGCTTAGTATGCCAAACATCTATATATAAATTTAGCTTGTCTGTCTGTTTGTTTGTTTGTATCCAATAAACATCAAAACGACTGAACCAATTTTTGTGTGGTCCCAGGGAAGGTTCATGAATGATCAAACATTTTAAAATATTGTAAATATTGTTTAAAAATATCACTAGACTTATTTGAGGGGAATATAATAATATATTTGGTCGGAAAATACTTGAAATGAGAACTATTGATGATACTTGAAAAAAACACATTTTTTATTATTATTTTATCTTACAACAGAATCTAAACAATAAAAATATCCATTGCTAACAATTTCAGTTTTAAAGATTTAAAAAGTACAGCAGCAACTTCGAATTGGAAAAATTAAACACAAAAGAAGATCAAATTTGCTTATATTCAAAAACTCCTGTTTTAAGCATACAATTTTGAACGTATTCGTACAATGAAATTTTAATTTCGCTTAAATTGTATTTGTAAATCACAGTTTAAAATGACAAAATATATCCGTGTGACAGTTCTGATAATTAATGAAAACTATTTAAAAAATATCTGTATATTTCTTAAATTTAAATTTCCTTTAAATGTTACAAGATTAACTACGGACATGCAGTATTCGGAGTATCAAGGAAACAGAAATGATAATGTCTTTACTCCAAGTATTTTTTCTACTAATTTCACATATTTTTGTTGCAATTTTTGAATTTGCATGATAAAGTTGCCTGACAGCGTATCATGCACAATACACTCTGACGTCATTTAAATCAATTAAATTGATTTTGATCAAATATTCATTTAGTTGGAAAAAATAATCAATAATCATATAGACCTAATATTTTAAAATCTATTCAACAAGATGATATTTATTTAAAATTAAGATGTCATTGATATTTGTAATCTTGTAAACTATCAATGCCAAACCAATGGGAAAGATCTTGAGCTATCAATGTCAAACCACACATAATCTTGTAAACTATCAATGCCAAACCACTGTGCACCAACTTGAGCTATCAATGTCAAACCACACATAATCTTGTAAACTATCAATGCCAAACCACTGTGCACCAACTTGAGCTATCAATGTCGAACCACACATTATCTTGTAAACTATCAATGTCAAACCACTGGGCACGATCTTGAGCTATCAATGTCAAACCACACATTATCTTGTAAACTATCAATGACAAACCACTGGGCACGATCTTGAGCTATCAATGTCTTTTAAACTATCAATGGCAAACCACTGGGCACGATCTTGTCAGCTTTCAATGTCAACATGGACACAAGCTCGGAAACTACGAATGCCAAACCAATGGGCACGATTTCGTCAGCTTTCAATGTCAAAATGGGCACAAGCTCGTAAACTATCAATGTCAAACCAATGGACATGTTCTCATATGGGGTTTGCGTAGCTATTTACAACGTTTATAATTAATAATGTACAGCGTAATTCAGGTTTACAGATCTTTATTACACATATCTTTTTATCCATGTAACTAAAATATATACCTGTGTCTAAACCATAAAGAAAAAGTCAACATTATGAAAAACGTGAAGCTCCTCTATATATGTATCAAAAACATCAAAAATTCCAAACTTTTTCGTTCTTCTCAATAGTTCTTTAAAAAGAGGAATTATGATTGAAAACATGTCAACACAGCTTACAAGATCAAATTCTACTTCGAGAAGGTGGGAAGCACCAACGATTTCTATGGACTGCATGCATTAAATTCCTATACTAACATAAAATGGAAATAAAAAATTGCGTAACTGACTCTGCAGTACACTTCTATAGACAAAATTCCTGCTCTTGTATATTTCTTGCTTCTTGTTTACACATCCTTACCTTCTTTTCATTTTCTAACTAGCTGCATCATATTGTCTTCTTTTTGCAAGACTTTATGCATCAACATATTTACTTATTTTTGCTTCACATAGTTTTCATTTTAATGCGTTAAATGAGGTTTGTCCTATTATCATTAGCTTTCAACTGTTTTGCCGGTTCACTAGAAAGGAACTGTAGTCTATAAGCGTAATTTCAAGTGACGCTCCATGCAAAGATGGCAATGCCCGATTTACAATGGTACCCTTGAAAGCGTTGTCTGATCAAGTATGAATTAAGTATCAATTTTTTTGTTCATTTAAACTTTTAATTTTCATCTGCAGTTTCTCTGCGAAAAAACTTACAGAAATATAAACTTTTCGAGTCAGAAAAACGACAGTATCTTCCACATTTTTGATCAGATAAAGGTTTCAAGGGTACCATTGTACAGGGCAATGCCATCTTTGTATGGAGGGTCACTTCTAATTACGCTTACAGTCCCTTTAAGAATCATATTCCTTGTGTAGTTTCAGAAGCTAAAGAATGTTTATATTTCATCGCTTTAGCGAAACCAGGATCTTCTAGAATTCCTGGGGATCACAGGTAAGAGCATGACAACCAAGGGAAACAAGGAGTATGGAATAGAAGGGAGATACAACTGACGTGGCCCGCCCTACCATATGATTATGTATGATTTGCAGACGGCACTTCATTTGTATAAGAAATATTCAGAGTACTAGGTTATTTGCAATACGCGGTAATTGTACATCAGACATATATATATTTCTTATTCAAATGAAGTACCGTCTGCAAAGCATGTATAATCATATGGTAGGGCGGACCTCGTCAGTAGTATCTCTCTTCTATTCCATACTGCTTGGAGGGAAACCATGATCTTTAATATTCCTGGGGATCATGTAAGAGCATGAAAACCCCCGTGGACACAAATCCAATTCCCTTGAAGAACCTTGTAAAACGATAATGTAACTCTACTGTATTTAGTCGTCTTCGGTTTATGGTGATTGTTTGATCATGGTCCGGAGACGTTTTCTCAGCCTCCCCCCCCCCTCTCTTCCCCAGTTTCCCCTTCTATCTCAGTATCGGTATATCCTCCGGCACCGGAGGTTCTACAGCTCCGCTCTAGTATTATAGCAGCACCCGGAGTAAGGTTCAACATTGTAAACAAACCTAACATTTCTCAAGTACAATATCAAATAAAAAAGGCGAGATAAACCTGGCATGATTTGTTAAAATTTGTCGAAGATTTTCCATTCTTAAATTGAGAGATAGTTTAAAGAAGATGGTTTAGTTCTGCAGACAAACTTTCAGGACGGATTCAACAAAAACCAGAGATCCTTTATGGTTTTATGCAGGAGTTCATGTTAAGATCTATCTCAAGATTGAGCTCAGTGTATATAGTCAAAGCTTTATAGTAGGCAACGGAGAGATTAAACCGTCCGCGAATTTACGCCGCCGGGGTTCAATGAGTACATCTGCTGAACTGTACATGCATACACTACCAGTGAGCACAATGATGAACATGACTTGTCCCGAGGATTTCCAGCTAACCCTGAACAATCAGACAGCTTTACACAATATTCAAGCACTTCAGGCGGGAAACTTCTTACTTCAAAGGTATTTAGTTTTTTTTTCCATTATACTCATTGAACTGTGACATTCTTAAAATAATAGATATTAACACAGGAGAAAATGTAGCATGAAAAAAATATTAAAGTAAATAAATATTAAAAGATCCATTAAAAAATATATGTATTGAAGAACAAAATTAAAAAAAAAGATAAAATGAGAGGGAAAGGAAAGATGATTTGCTAGCATTTTATTTCGGTTTCTGTCTTACCCCAGCCCCCCTCAATTTTTACAACTGTTGTAGGTTTTGAATTATCTTAATCCTAAAACTGTGTTTCCATGGAAACTTAATTTATTTGTTGATAAAGCTCTTGTTCTCTGAAACTAGTATATTTGCTTTCGGTTGAATGAATTGTCTGAATTTTCCCTGGAGCTAGTTAAAGAAAAAAATTCAGAATACTCTAAAAATATTATGGAGAAAGACAAGCCTGTTTAGGCAGAATGTGAGGGGGTGCATCATATATTAATAACAAAACAGAACACTAGATGTCGTCTTTTTAAGATTTAGAAGTTTTTCGTTCACAATAACCCAAAGGAGTTACGTGCATGCCGCGTTGAATGCGAAGACAGAGAGAGAGCATGCACGTAAATCTTTTGAGCTTCTGCCTCAGGGTTATTGTGAACGAAAAATCTTCAAAAGACGACATCTAGTGTTCTATCTGTGTTGTTATTAATCTATGGGGTGCATCAACTTAAAGTAAATGTGTCCTGATTGATGTGTGTTTATGTAACAGACTTACAGCTTAGAAGAGTAAAATTACTAAGAGTGATGGAAATCTAAAGTTATCCGTCTGAAAATAAAAAATTTTATTTCAGTTTGATCGTTTTGATACTTTTGAGCCACTATAAAATTTTTCTTGATAATATATATGTAGTAAACGCCTACTCTTGATTATCAATGTCAACACACGGCTACAATCCCGTGAACTATCAAACCCATATATATTAGAGTGGAATTTAGGAAATCCCTCGGTATGAATTTTGTCAGTACCTTTCAGACGGAAAGGGAGTTCAAAGTGTACAATTCATGTAAATGTTCACAAATTATATGCAGTAGAGTACATTAATACAGTATGTTCCCTAGACTATCCATTTCAATTTCGAATTTTTTTAAATAAAAGATAAACTTAATAAAAACTTTATAAATATAAATATTAAATATTAAAATAATCTTTATAAAGTGAATTAGGTGAATAAAAAACATCATTTGATTTAAAGTTTTAACAAAAAATCATCGTTTGTAAAGTGATAGGCATGGAGTCTATGTGAAATGATCATTGGTCAATTATGAAACCAGCCTTTTTCATAATTTGGTTTTCTTTTGATATTAATTTTAGATTTTCTATAAAATGATATTCCAGGGCCCAAAAGGTTATATATAGCATAAATATGTGAAGTACACCTGCAGTATGGAAACAGTACAACAAAATGACCGTTTTACACTTTTTTCTAGTAAATTCCACTCTAATATATATTCGATTCTCTTTGACAAAGAACCAAATTACTCTCAACACTGTAATCAATGCGGAGTGTCTGTATCAACTAACTATATTTCTTCAGTTTTAGATTGGGAGTGGGTCCTTAACAAAGTAATTACACGTTATGCGCTGTTATATACACTCTAGTTAGGCAATCACAATATGGGTATTATGGAGTTATATATATTGTACAATGAATGGGTTAATCGCAATACATGATTCACGTATTTACTAATGGGCACATCTAGATGGACAATATACAACGTAATTTACTATAGGCCTCTATATTTGCTACATATACACTATTAAGCATTAGAGGTTTGAAAATTTCTAATTACTTTTGGAACGAGAGAAAGTATTAAAGCAAGAGCATATTTTTGTTGTCTTGAATATCATCATCATTTATTTCTGTTCGAGCCAGCCGTTTTTATTTATGTTATTGTAAAAATAATAATGATTCGTAGGATTTCGCAGATTTTTCTGCTTTCATTGGCGGATTTTATAAATTAGAAAAAATATAAAAAATTCACTGTCACAGCTGAGCCCGCGATTTAAAAAAAACTCGGGAAAATACGGCTCGGGGCTAAGCTGTCGTTGGGCTTATTTACGGCTTCGGATGCAAGCTGCATCTTATTTTCCACAGAGTTGAGCTGAAAAACCGGTTTAATATTCTTTTTGGCGGATTTTCATGGAAGGAATTGGCGCATTCCGGGTTTTTATGAGAACAAGACACCTCAACATTGAGCCTTATTCTCTACTAAAACCAACCAAGGTCGGTTTTATTTTCAATGGGCCTAACTCCTTAAGTTGAGCTGAAGATCTTGAAGCTGTCAATCACGTGTCGTCATAGTTGGGTCGAAGATTGGGTCTTAAAGTCAGGTTTTAGTAATTACGGCTCAAGCCTAAATTTTTAAATCACGGGCTCTGGTCATATTTGAGGTTTTACACAATTATTTTGTTAGTTGGGTACAGCATTCTTATCGTTTTTTTGACACAAACAGACAGACAAATATAAACAAAGTCATGTATATGAAAAATATAAAAATATAATTATAAGTTAATTCAGAACTTTAATTGCACACTAACAAAAATAACAATAACAAACTTGAAAGCATTCACATGAATGTACTTTTAAATTGGATAAGAGAAAGTAAGCCCCAGGGTAGAATTGTTATTCTTCAATTAAGCTTAAATATTATTTTACAAATTTATTTTTTATTTTATTTACAAACTTCCATACTGTTACCAGGGTTATGCTTATGCACAATCATAATTAATTAACTTGAAGATTGTAAAGTTTAAAATAAGGATGAAATCTAATATGTTAAAAACAAAGAAACGCCTTATAATTTAAAAACATGTTTGATATTTTTTTTTAACTAAGAGCATTGTGGATTGTGCGTGTGTGTGTGTAGGGGGGGGGGGTATTAAGAAAATTGCTTAAAGCAGATTAAATCATAATTCAAATAAATAAGAATGAAGTTTAAATTTGACCTCTTTCGCTAGTTTTGCGACGAATTTTCTAATTAATAGTCTGGAAAAAAAACATATCAAAAAGTTTTTCATCGATCTTAAGAAATGGAAGTACACCGGAAACCTTGAAACCCTAATCTGATTCAATTTCTGGGTGTTCATTGCTTCATATAACAAGAAATGCGCCAGTCACTTTTGCAGAAAACCCCAATATGAAAATAAACCGTTTAAATAAACAAAAACATCGGACAAAGCTTTTAAGGGTATCGTTAAAAATTTTGCATTGCCGCCTTTGCATGGAGGGTCACTTGAAATTACGCTTACAGTCTCGTGTAAGAAATATTTCTATGAAATTTTCAATTAAAAAGTCACAGTCACGTCATAAACTTCTACTGTTCTCTGAGTATCTGAGTAATCTTATATCCAACCCTTGCAAGACATGTTGACCCTGGATAAATATTGTCCAGCAGTTTTCTATTCCTAGAGTAGGGTTGGCTATAATCCTCAAGCTTAATGTCCAACTCGGTTAAACTTGACAAATATTTGCAAATAAACTATTTTGCAATCTTTGTTTTTTACACATAAATTTTTCTCTGACGGCATAAAATATATTTCAATGTTCACAGAGAAAGCATTTTCTTCTGCTTCTCTGCTGAATATTCATCCTTAAAGGGGCAGACCGGCTATAGTAAGGTAGTTGAACTGTGTATGCAGTGTTGTGGAAAGCTTCTTTAGGATTCATTTGAGACATGTAAAACTCTGTATATCCTGAGTTTGAGCACAAATTCGACGTTCAAAATTCCTACTTTGGGGGTGGATACGTTTTCAGAATTGGGTTTTTTAAATTATTAAATAACGACGACCAAAAATGCAAACAAAACTCTAAATAAACTTATTAGTTGTTTAGGAACCGGCTGAGAAAATAAAAATTAATCCTATCATCGAAAGTAATCTTGTTCAATTATTAGTTTCTATTTTCTCATTATTCTAGTTTCTCATCATTCACAAAGATTTTCTGCAGATTTTCTAGAATTATTATTGAAAAGACGACATTTGAAGAATTTGAAGAAATCTTCGAATAAATTCAAAGAAAATAAGAAATTCAATATAATGATGAAAACGAAATAATTGATTCTAGCATTGATTTATTGACAAATGTCTTTTGAGAAATATGTCCCCGACCACCTAATTAGATTACTATATGATTTTTACTTTATTTTTCGTCGTCGTTATTTAGTAATTTAAAAAAAACCGATTCTGAAAACGTATCATCCACCCCCAAAGTAGGAGTTGTAAACGTCGAATTTGCGCGCAAATTCAGGATTTACAGATCTTTAAAAAGTTTTATATGTCTCAAATGAATCCTAAAGAAGGTTTCCACAACACTGCCTTCTCAGTTCAACTACCTTACATAGCCGGTCTGTCCCTTTAATGACATTGTATTAAAATCGACTTAAAACAGCAACATTTTTGATTGAGAGTAACTTTAATTTCTTTCGACAGTCTCATTCAGAAAAAGCTTTATAAATGGCGAAGCATTGAGCTTAATTTACTCAGGTGTAAAATAGGATATTTATACTTAAGGTCAACTCCATAAAAACAAAACTTTTATCTTACATTTGAATTTTTTGCTTCCAAGTTTTTTTTTAAATTTTATAGTAAGATAGACAATTTTGCAGATAACAAAACTTTTCGTAAGAAATATTATTTTCATCGTTAGTTGAATATTCTCTTTTTTATTTATTTTTTATTTCTTGATGTGAATCTACAGAAAACTATCTGACCCGAAAAGATGACCCGGGAGTTTCGTTAAACGATATAGTTTTAAACTTCCGGCTCAAGGGTTTTAATATTGGATAAAACACTAAACGAAAGAAGACATTAATTCAATGTACTATGAGTACAACTTCATCATTTTAAAAATTAAAGTTGTTAAAAAATTGCTAGAAAGATTTCTTCCATTTGACGAATTTTAAGAACGAAATTTAACTGTAAAACGATAACATTTATCGCGTATTTGATTACGAGAATTTTGCAATACTTTAAACCCTAATCCCTCCCTTCTAGACTCCCCCCATGTTCAACTAAAGTAAACTGCACATAACCTTGAAATTTTGAATGTTATAAATCATAACTTCTCTTATTTAAGAGCTGTTGAGAAGAATAAACAAGTTTTTAAACTCCTAATATGTAACTAGTTAAATTTGTTTGTGCAATGCATCTCCCCCCCACATTCCGGTAATTAAAAATTCCATTTGTAAAGAAATCAATCATCGATCCTTTGACTATGTACACCTAGGACCTCCCAGTAAACCCTCTAATTAGAAATTTAATTGTTCTTCTAAACATTAGGGTTACGTAGGAAAGCTGTCCCTCTAAAAGTATACAGGGTGCATTAGTTAAGGGTTATACACTGGGAAATCCTTAATAATTTGTAATTGTATATTTGTGTCACCCTGTTGAATAGTTAAAATGTTTAAGAATAGTTTAAACTTGTCTTGAAGTATTCAACTAATCTACTTTAACTTGACTTAAACACGGTACAGTTCTCGCACTTTAGTAGACATGTCTAAACTCTCTAGTTCTACAGTAGACATGTCTAAACTCTCTAGTTCTACAGTAGACATGTTTAAACTCTCTAGTTCTACAGTAGACATGTCTAAGCTCTCTAGTTCTACAGTAGACATGTCTAAACTCTCTAGTTCAAAGTAGACATGTCTAAACTCTCTAGTTCTACAGTACACATGTTTAAACTCTCTAGTTCTACAGTAGACATGTTTAAACTCTCTAATTCTTCAGTAGACATGTTTAAACTCTCTAGTTCTACAGTAGACATATCTAAACTCTCTAATTCTACAGTAGACATGTCTAAACTCTCTAATTCTACAGTAGACATTTTTAAACTCTCTAGTTCTACAATAGACATGTCTAAACTCTCTAATTCTACAGTAGACATGTTTAAACTCTCTAGTTCTACAGTAGACATGTCTAAACTCTCTAGTTCTGCAGTAGACATGT